GAGCCGCCCGCGGAGCTGCCGGAGCCCCGCGCCGCCAGCAAGGGGCCGCCCCGCAGCGGTGAGTGCAGCGTGAGGGGGCCGGGCGGGCCGGGGCCGGCGGTACCGGGGGCTCCGCCTGCCCGATGCGGGCCCGCGACTTTCCGCGGCCGCGGGGCACAACAAAGGGCCGTGCCCGCCCTGCCCCGCTGCCCCGGGCCGCGCTCGGGGCTCGGCGGCACGCGGGGGTCCCCTCGGACGGGCCGGCGTGTCCTGCGGGTTTATCTCGCCTCGCAGAAATCGCCTTTTCCCGGTGCAGCCGCGGTGTTCCGAGGGCCCGCGGGGAGCGCGGAGCCGCTGCCGGGTCGGTCCGGGCGCGGGTGCCGGGGCTGCCCCGCGGGTCCCGGTACCGGTACCGTGTCCCGGCCGTGCTCCCGGTGCCCCCCGGGTGTCCTGGCTCAGCCCCTGTGAGCCCGTCCCTGCCCGCGGTTTATGGGCACCATTTGGGACCCTTTTACACTTCCCGTATGCAGATGCCGCATCTGCACTTGAATGTCCCTGCCAATTTTTATGGTTTACAATTGCATTTTACCATCTTAAGGTACTCGGGTTCTCTACAAAGGGTTTGCTCAGACAAAAGAGGCTTTTTATCAGGCAGCATCCTCGGCTTTCGAGATACAGGCGGCTCCAAAAGATAGGCAGTGTGGGAACCGCAGAAATGGGCATTTCTGTGAGCGCCCCGATGCGTAATGTTGAGTTGTCCCTGGAAGCTCTTTATTCCCCCTCAGTTAATTAGATGTCCAATTGGATGAAAGACACTTAATACTCTTAGATACTTTAATAACGCTCTAATAACACTCTTAATGCTTTAATATAGCCTTAATACTTTTTGAACTTTCTGGTTTAATTTGTGAAGTGTCTGTTGCTTTAGTGTCCCTAAGAGTACAACAACATTAATGCTTTGTCCGCATTTGCTATTTTTCCCACAGATGTGGCATTTTGGGGGAAATCTCTTTTGATTGATCAGATTAGCTTTAAGTTTCTTGCGTAGCTGTTTCTTGTGACAGACGTACCTGTGGCTGTGGTTAGTCTTTTGAATGGGTGATGTAACAACCTTTTACTACTTTGCCTTCAAAAATGTGAAATACTGGTGCGGTGTTGAGACATTGCTTGACCTTCAGTCTTTCTAAAGCCTCTGGGGGTGGAGCAGGAAAGATTGGGTTGTTAATTCATGGTTTTATAAAATATCTGCAAATGATGATGGCAAATGAAGGCTCTGAATATTTCGTTTTCTTAAGAAAGATTCCTAGTACTTTTGATACCTAGAGGAGCAACATCTTAACAAAACCAGTGAAAATTGTGTGAGGACAGAGGTATAAAAGTCAGATTGCATTCTTGGTGTTAAAATGTTAATGTTAAAATCATTAATGAACTTAAGCTGTGCACGTGGCTCCTGTGTTAACCCAGAGTAAACTGCTGCAAGTTTATTGGCGCCTTCAGTGAGAGAAGCCTCGGGATAACTTTGAAATGCAGGGTGTAGTTTTATTTCAGCAGTTACAGGCAATTGCAGCCTCATTATTTGAGGGGACACTTGACGTTCTTAGAATATAAGATGATGGTTTTCCCTTGGCAATTTGAGTACTTCCTCTCCCATGTAAGAAACATATTTTGCCATTGAGCAAATCAATAGCAACGCGTAAAACCTGGTTTTTTTAAAAAGCAATTTCACTAAGACATTCATTTTTCCTGCAGTAGTAGCAATTATTTCACAACAGGATCCCATTTAAGATCAGCCTTGCTATAGCTTCAGTTGGCATCTTTTTCCTCTGAGTGAGACATGCTGGCTTTTACAAAGTTTTAATTATTTCACGTCTTAGCTAAAATAGGGACACAACAGATTAATTAGAACTAAAGTAACTTTGGTCACTTTGTTGTGTACTGTGGTCTTGGAAGACAGATTTATCAGGAAACTAAACAGAAAACTTGAATTTTGTGTTCCTGTAAAACTGTCAGAGTTTCAGATGGGCAGATTACTGATCTGGATAAACTTCATACCAGAGAAAAGAGGAAAGTTGTCAGAGCACAAAGAATGTAAGGTTTTCAAAGAAAAGTCCCTTTGCCTGCATCCCTTCCCTTTTCCACAGCATTCCCAAACTTTACTGGCACACACTGACATTTTTAGTGGTTCTTTATGCTTGGTTGCTTTGCATCTGATGAGATAAGCCTTTGCTTAACAAAGACTATTTCATTGATATAGTTGGGTCTTAGTTTACTTGCTATAAACATTTCTTTGAAGATTTAGGAAGAAAAACAAATGGAGTTGTCGAATGGCAACGCTGCTGAAGTCAAATGTCTCTGAATAAACAAGAAGCTACAGTGTTATTTCAGCTCAGTGTTGGCTTCTTGAGTGTGGATGTCTCTTGCTTTTGTAAATAATAATAGTTCAGAATCCCATGCATTACTTTCTCAGTTCTGTGATGGGAAAGGGAAGACTTGTAATTTAGGAACAATTTAACTCCTTTGTTTGATTTGATGGTAAAGATGGAAAAATACCTCTTGGTATAAAGTTGGAATTTGGTATTGATGGCTTCTGTAGATCATTAATCAGGAAAATGGGTTTTTGCATGCCTTTTTGTGCTGAGCCCGGGACTAGTGCTGGGTGTTGAGCAGATGCAGTGTGTGATGTGACACTGCAACAACAGGATTTTTTCCCCTGCTTTGCTATGAAACAATATAAAGATATTGAATTGTAGAAAATGAGGGAACTTTCCCATCTGGGAGACTAATTCTTGATTGTTGAGAAGCAGTAGTTATCTTTCTGTCCTGCCTCTGGCAAGTCCTTTGTGGTATTTCTTTTTTTGGTGGGGAAAATGTGCCAGTGGTTTATTGAATTACTGTTCAACTCCTACGTGGTGGAGCTTAGAACAGATGCATTTACACCAGCATTCTGTGAGAATGGGAGCACAGTTTATCCTGTTGATAAACTGCCTATTTAAATAAAGCCTTCAGCAGTGTAATCTGGTAATTCTAATTAAGTCATTTACATAGGGAATTGGCCCAGGGTTTCATCAGATGGCTGCTGGGGAGCTGAAATGCATTCTTTCCCTCCAGCTGTATTAAACCAGCCTTTTGATCCTGTCCTTTTTTTAGCCTTTAAGCCAAAGTGGTTATCACTGTGCAGAGTTAATTGAGAAAGGGAAGTTGGGGGACAAGGGGACCCTTCGAGCTTTAGCTTTGGTCTTAATTATAACAGTTCTAATTACATAATTAGAAGACTTCCAGATTTTATGTGTTGATAAAAATGATCCTGTACGGGTTTTGTTATAAAGAGGAAATACTCCACGGAGAGGCTGGCTTCAGTGAAGTTCTTTATTGGTAAATGATTGCCAATAACTTATCTTGAAAGCAGTATATGCCTGGGGTATCTGAGTTCTCCCCAGCACTTCGATAAGGAGGTCTCATTTACCCAGGGTGGACCCTGAGTCCTTCAGAGAGCACAAGTTCCATGGATACCTTCCATTGCCCAATCATCCCAGCTGTAGGCTTGTAGAGGTGGTGAGATTTAAACTTAGAGAAATGTCTGGTCAGTGTGAAATATTAATTTTTTAAGCCCTTTTTTCCTTTGTAAAAAAAAAAAAACCAAAAAACAAAGCCAAAACCCAGTAAAAATCTATCACAGCTCTAACGCCAGGCTGACTGCAAACTGCTGGGATGCCCTTGTGTGGAAATCCCTCCCAGCTGAAACTTCAGGGGAAACCTTCAGTAGATTTGATGGGAGCATAATCTGGACTGTGATGTCCCTCGGACAAAATTCCCCTGTTGGACAAAGCCTCTGCAGCTGTTCCTGCAGGAAATGTGGGTGCAGTGTCTGCAGGTGCTCGTCGTGGTGGGCTGCCTGCAGTGGCCAGCCGCCTGCAGGTGCTGTCCCCCTGGGCTGTGGATGAGCAGTGCTTCATTCTGATCAGCTGCTGCTCAGCAGCCCGGGGTTCACCTGTGGGAATTGCTGCAGAGCCCTCAGGTCCTGAATCCAAGGGATTAAATGATGGCTGTCGCGATTGTAGTAAAAATTTGTAAAGGAACTCCGGGTCTCTGAAAGTTCTGCCAAACACCAGCTTGTCCTCCAAAAATCTCTTCGTTCAGCTCACAGCTGTAGCTTTATGTTGTTTGGCAATACTTACAAGGAATTATTCCTAAGTATGTTGTTTCAGATGTCTTGCGAGTGCTTTTGCCAGGAGACTCTCTATCCCCTGCCTGTTTTATCAACAGTGCTAAGGAAATGCCCTTTGTGTGGGTCACAAGCAGGGACTGTTCTTACCTGCAAATTTACTGTACTCGTGGTGGTGTCCAAAACTGAAGGGAGCTGAGGAAAGGTGCCAGTGTTGGGTGCCAGTTTGCTGCTGTACCAAGCTCGGGGTGTTTGCTGCTGCTTTGTGAAGCTTTTCTTTGCCCAGCTCTGTTTTCCTGCTTACCTGGCACTGCCAGTTGGGGTCCATCACCTTAACACTTGAGCTGACCTTTAGTATTTCACTTGGATTTACATAAGGCTTCTGCTCAGTGAACTGTCCCTATCACAGGATGATATCCATAAAAATG